GGTGTTTATGAAACAAAGTGAGTTGTAACTGACGTGCCCGTGCTGAACTTGCTGATTTACTTTCTAAAAATAAACAATTCGGTCCAAGTCGAATTGTTTATTTGGTGGTCGCACTCCCGGCTTGTCGATTTCTCACAGCGCCACGAGGTTAAGTTCCTGTGCCCATTGCAAACTAAATTCTATTTGTGTGTTTCGTCTGCCGTGGCCGCGAGCGAGAGCCGCCGGTCGCTTCTCGGGACGAATCGCATCTCGTTGGGCATCATCACCTGCTGGAATTAATCACCCGAGGACGGCTGCTTGCGTTGTGGCCGAAAAGTCGTGAGAATTGTATTTGATTATGTTAAATTTTTGTTATTTTATTATTTCCCTTTTACCGAAAGAACCAAGAAGATTAACAACATAGTTTAGTTTAAATATCTATGAGGCTCTATCTAAATATGACCTGGGGGCTGTCAAGCTCTCCTCGCCTGGTTAAACGCAATGGTAAGTGTGTGTATATGTATACTCTTTGGTTCTTTCGGTAAAGTCACGTAGAAAAAGTATAATCGATCACGACGTGATCGATTGAAACGTCGTGATCGATTATTATTTTTCTACCTCCGTGACTTTGCCGAAATGAAGCAAAGAGTATGGGTTCCTGCGGTCACGAAAGCTTCGAATCAATATCGTATATGTATATATTGTCGAATTGTTTACAATATTCGCGTTCTCATTGTTGGTGAGCGTTCACGTGCTTGGATGACGGCGCTCTGAGCGCGTTTCAGCAACATAAAAAAGTTTCTCATGATCCGTTAGAAACATCACACACATTAACATTAACATGTAGATTTACCTTCTGTGTGTGTGTGTACACAGGCTAGGCTCCGAGCCTGATATTACAAAACAAAAACAAAGATCCCCCCAAGTATAGCCTTAATAGAGTGTTGGGGCAAGTGCTGTTTAGCGAGTAGTGATAGCGCCTATGAAGGCTACCGCCACTTGGCACACGAGGGGGTGGGTGGATGGTCAGCACCACGCCCGACCGCCTTTGTCTCCCCAGTGGCGATGTTTACACACCAAAGACAAATATCCCCCGTATAGCCTTCATAGAGTGTTGGGGCAAGTGCTGTTCGCGAGCAGTCATCGCTGTAGCCGCGTCCTGGAACCCAATCCGCACGACTCACGCCAGCGACTGTCACTCCCAGGTACGCACAGAGCAGCGAGTAAACAACAACAACCACCACAACAACAACAACAACAACCACCACAACAACAACAACAACCACCACAACAACAACAACAACCACCACTCAACTCGACACACGCCTCGACACCGCTGCCCTGAGCACGGAAGGACTACCTCGCTTCGGAGAAGGTCCGTCGCCCGAAACGTCGCCGATTGCATGTTTGGTTCATTTGAAGGTTGTTATTGTTGTTGTGGTTGTTGTTGTTATTGTTGTTGTTGTGGTTGTCAATGTTTACACATCGCACACGGAGACGCGCGCCTGTGGGATGTCCCCCTGATCAATCAGAGCCTCGCCGGGACCGCAGCGATCACCACCACCACGACCACAACCACAATCACCACAACTACCACAACCACCACGACTATAACCACAATCACCACAACCACCACAACCACCACCACTATAACCACAATCACCACAACCACCACCACCACAACAACCATCACCACCACTACAACTACCACCACTACAACCATCACTACAACAACCACCACTACAACAACCATCACTACAACCACCACCACTACAACCATCACCACAACCACCACTACAACCACCATCACTACAACAACCACCACTACAATAACAACCACCACTACAACAACCATCACTACAACCACCACTACAACCACCATCACTACAACATCCACCACTACAACAACCACCACTACAATAACAACCACCACTACAACAACCATCACTACAACCACCACCACTACAACCATCACCACCACCACCACCACAACCACCACCACCACCACTACAACCATCACTACAACCACCACCACTACAACAACCACCACTACAATAACAACCACCACTACAACAATCATTACTACAACCACCACCACTACAACCATCACCACCACAACCACCACAACCACCACCACCACCACTACAACCATCACTACAACCACTACCACTACAACAATCATCACTACAACCACAACCACCACAACCACCACCACCACTACAACCACCACTACAACCACCACCACTACAACCACCACCACTACAACAATCATCACTACAACCACCACCACTACAACCATCACCACCACCACCACAACCACCACAACCACCACCACCACTATAACCATCACTACAACCACCACCACTACAACCATCACCACCACAACCACCAATACAACAACCACCACTACAACAACCATCACTACAACCACCACCACAACCACCATCACCACAACCACCACCACTACAACCACCACAACCACCACCACCACTACAACCACCGTCAAAGGCTGCTTCTGTGATCATCTCATTCCGTCTATAGTACACAGCCTATAGTACACAGCCTATAGTACACAGTCTATAGTACACAGTCTATAGTACACAGCCTGTAGTACACCGCCTATAGTACACAGTCTATAGTACACAGCCTATAGTACACAGCCTATAGTACACAGCCTATAGTACACAGCCTCTAGTATATATATCTATATAGTATACACACAGTCTATAGTATATATCTATAGTATATATATCTATAGTATATCTATAGTATATATATCTATAGTATATATATCTATAGTATATATATCTATAGTATATATATCTATTTAGTATATCTATAGTGTATCTATAGTATATATATCTATAGTATATATATCTATAGTATATCTATAGTATATATATCTATAGTATATATATCTATTTAGTATATCTATAGTGTATCTATAGTATATATATCTATTTAGTATATCTATAGTGTATCTATAGTATATATATATCTATAGTATATATATCTATTTAGTATATCTATAGTGTATCTATAGTATATATACACAAGTGCTGATGTCGCCCTCCATCGGGATGCGAACTGGGGTCGCTCGGCGTTCCGTTACGTAGCGCGCCCAGACCCCCCCCCCAGACCCCCCCAGACCCCCCCACCCCCCCCCAGACCCCCCCAGACCCCCCCCAGACCCCCCCCCAGACCCCCCCAGACCCCCCCCAGACCCCCCCCCAGACCCCCCCAGACCCCCCCCAGACCCCCCCCCCCCCCAGACCCCCCCAGACCCCCCCAGACCCCCCCAGACCCCCCCAGACCCCCCCAGACCCCCCCAGACCCCCCCCAGACCCCCCCCCAGACCCCCCCAGACCCCCCCCAGACCCCCCCCAGACCCCCCCAGACCCCCCCAGACCCCCCCAGACCCCCCCCAGACCCCCCCAGACCCCCCCAGACCCCCCCCCAGACCCCCCCAGACCCCCCCCAGACCCCCCCCCAGACCCCCCCAGACCCCCCCCAGACCCCCCCAGACCCCCCCCAGACCCCCCCCCCAGACCCCCCCAGACCCCCCCCAGACCCCCCCAGACCCCCCCCAGACCCCCCCCCCCCCCCGCTATGCCACCACTCCTCTCTGCACGGGTCACACCACGACCCATCTTCTTGTTTCCGAGTTTATCCGACGTAGTGTGATGGGTGTCGCAGCAGCAGCCGCAGCAGCGGCATCGTCTGCCACCTGGGGCCGTCTGGAACGCCTCTCGCTCGGGGAGCCGCCGTGTCACTTCCACGTCGCCGTCTTCGTTGTCTTCGTTGACAAAACCTCGCGTCGTCGGAGTCGATCCTCCTTGCTGGGCTTAGTTGACTGTCGTGTCCGCGTTGTGTGTGTATGTGGTGTGTGTGTGTGTATGTGGTGTGTGTGTGTGGTATGTGTATGTGGTGTGTGTGGTGTGTGTTTGTGATGTGTGTGGTGTGTGTGGTGTGTGTGTGGTGTGTGTGTGGTGTGTGTGGTGTGTGTGGTGTGTATGTGTTTGTGATGTGTGTGGTATGTGTGGTGTGTGTGGTGTGAGTGTGGTGTGTATATGTGGTGTGTGTGGTGTGTGTGGTGTGGAGTGTGTGGTGTATGTGGTGTGTGTGTGTGTATGTGTGGTGTGTGTGTGTGTGGTGTGTGTGGTGTGTGTGTGGTGTGTGTGTGTGGTGTATGTGTTGTGTGTGTGGTGTTTGTGGTATGTGTGGTGTGTGTGGTGTGAGTGTGGTGTGTGTATGTGGTGTGTGTGTGTGGTTTGTGTGTGGTGTGTGTGTGTGGTGTGTATGTGTGTGTGTGGTGTGTGTATGTGTGTGTGGTGTGTGTGTGGTGTGTGTGTGGTGTGTGTATGTGGTGTGTGTGGTGTGTGTATGTGGTGTGTGTGTGGTGTGTGGTGTGTGTGTGGTGTGTGTGTGGTGTGTGGTGTGTGTGTGTAGTCTGTCTCCGTGTTGACTGTCTCTGTGTTGCCTGCCTCTGTGTTGCCTGTCGTGTGTGTGGTGTGTGTGTGGTGTGTGTATGTGTGGTGTGTGTGTGTGGTGTGTGGTGTGTGTGTGTAGTCTGTCTCCGTGTTGACTGTCTCTGTGTTGCCTGTCTCTGTGTTGACTGTCGTGTGTGTGTGTGTGTGTGGTGTGTGTGTGGTGTGTGTATGTGTGGTGTGTGTGGTGTGTGGTGTGTGTAGTCTGTCTCCGTGTTGACTGTCTCTGTGTTGCCTGTCTCTGTGTTGATTGTCGTGTGTGTGGTGTGTGTGTGTGGTGTGTGTGTGTGGTGTGTGTGTGTGGTGTGTGTGTGTGGTGTGTGTGGTGTGTGTGTGGTGTGTGTGTGGTGTGTGTGTGTTGCCTGTCTCTGTGTTGACTGTCTCTGTGTTGCCTGTCTCTGTGTTGCCTGTCGTGTGTGTGGTGACTGCCCCCTTACCCCCCTCGCCGCCTAGCAGCTCCGGGTTGTCTCGGTACGGTGCTGAAGAAGTTCGACAAAGCAGCACTCGGCAGGAAAGGAACCCGGGGCCACTCACCTCGGACTCGGCGACTGCGTCCGACTCCGCGTGGCGCCCTTTCCGTGCACAGAGTGGCCCGCGAGCTTCACGTGGACATGGGGCCACTGCGGGACGAGAGAGGAGGGGGGGGTAAGGGGAGAGATTTATCGAGCGAGAGAGACAGAGAAAGGTGACGATGGGGCGAGCGCAAAGAGAGAGTAGAGAGAGAGAGAGAAGGGGGGGGGGGCACAGGGAGAGAGTAGAGAGAGAAGGGGGGGAGAGAGTAGAGAGAGAGGGGGGGGGGGTGAGATTGTTTAACGCAGAGAGACGCGAGATTGATCGCAGATGGCTGTAGCGTTGGGGCGAAATATGGGTCTGATGAGAGGGATTATTCGCGAGGATGATGATGATGATAGTTGATACCTGCAGATGAGGCACCGTTATATGGATTGATGGAGAGATATTTAGATATGTACCGGTGAAATATGGCGTTGTTCGAGTGAGTGACCAGAGTGGGGAAGTATGGACGAAACAACTCCCTCCACGAGTGGGATGAGAAGATCGTGCAGCAGCTGATCTTCGCCAAATCGATGGAGGGGGGGAAACCAAGCGGAGGGAGATGGAGCGGAGAGAGAGATAGTGGGATTGGGATGTGTAAGAGAGAAAGATAGTGGGATTGGGAGTAGAAGAGAGAGATAATGGGATTGGGATGTGGAAGAGAGATAATGGGATTGGGATGTGGAAAGATATGGAGGGGATATCGAGGTAGGGATGGAGAGAGATGGTACAGCGAAGATGAGAGATGGAGCTCCGGGTCTCGATGTAGTTTATGCTCGATGGGGTTCGGTATTTAACCGAGAGCAGAGAGAAGGGGGGGGGGGAGAGCGTAGCGGGAGAACAACATCTCGAGAGAGATGAAGAAGGGAGAGAGTGGGAGAGTTACACAAGTCAGCCAGCAGTAGAATGTGCACACAGAGACAGAGAGATGCGGTACCACGGGGTGGGAGAGCAGATCTGTCAGCGAGAGGTGGGCAGCGAGAGGTGGGCAGTGAGAGGTGGGCAGCGAGAGGTGGGCAGCGAGAGGTGGGCAGCGAGAGGTGGGCAGCGAGAGGTGGGCAGCGAGAGGTGGGCAGCGAGAGGTGGGCAGCGAGAGGTGGGCAGAGCGAGAGAGTCTTGGCTGGGCGGTACAGAGAGACGGGAGATGATTCATAGAGAGAGGAGAGGCGTGGAGGGGAGAGGCAGAGAGAGTAGAGGCCTCTCTCTCTCCTCTCTCTCTCCTCTCTCTCTCTTTCTGTGTCCGCACGCTCCGTGTCGCCAGAGCTCCCGTTGGAATCGACGGCCTCAGCGTCCGGTAAGGTCGGGAGAGGTCGCGGTGAGTGAGGTGGGGGTGAGGTGGGGGTGAGTGAGGGGTGAGTGAGGTGGGGTGAGTGAGGTGGGGGTGAGTGAGGGGTGAGTGAGGTGGGGGTGAGTGAGGGGTGAGTGAGGTGGGGTGAGTGAGGTGGGGGTGAGTGAGGGGTGAGTGAGGTGGGGGTGAGTGAGGGGTGAGTGAGGGGTGAGTGAGGAGGGGGTGAGTGAGGGGTGAGTGAGGTGGGGTGAGTGAGGTGGGGGTGAGTGAGGGGTGAGTGAGGGGTGAGTGAGGTGGGGGTGAGTGAGGGGTGAGTGAGGTGGGGTGAGTGAGGTGGGGGTGAGTGAGGGGTGAGTGAGGGGTGAGTGAGGTGGGGGTGAGTGAGGGGTGAGTGAGGTGGGGGTGGGGTCAGCATTGCCTTGGTTGGGTTGAGTGGAGGTGGAGTGAAGGTGGAGTGGAGGTGGAGGTGGAGCGAGCTCTGATCCCCTCGAGATCGGTGCCGGGTCGCGTCAAGGTCGAGCTCGATTTGAGTCGAGGTCGAGGTGGAGTGGAGTCCGAGTCGGGGTCGAGTCGGGGTCGAGTCGGGGTCGAGTCGGGGTCGAGTCTACGCGCGCCGCTCACCGCGAGTCGAGTCCGACGGAGCCCGGCAGGGAAGGGCGGGGCCGGGAGACAAGAGAGAGGGAGGGGGGTGGGGGCGAGGTGGGGGGTGGGGGCGAGGTGGGGGGTGGGGGCGAGGTGGGGGGTGGGGGGTGGGGGGTGGGGGCGAGGTGGGGGGTGGGGGCGAGGTGGGGGGTGTAAGGGGGGGGGGGTCCCTACCCCCTGGGGCGAGGAGACCGCTGGGTCCGAGGCGAGGGGGTGAGTGGGGGGGGCAGAACTCGAGACTCCGGTGATGAAGCAGCAGCAGGAGCAGGAGCAGCAGCAGCAGGAGCAGCAGGAGGAGCAGCAGCAGGAGCAGGAGGAGCAGGAGCAGGAGCAGCAGGAGGAGCTACAGCAGCAGGAGCAGCAGCAGGAGCAGCAGCAGGAGGAGGAGGAGGAGGAGGCGAGGTTCGAGACGTGGGAGACGCGAGCCGAGTGAGTCGGAGGAGGAGACGAGGCAAGTCCCTCGCCCCCCCTCCCCCTGCCCCCACTCCCCCTGCCCCTCCCTCTCCCCCTGCTACATCTCCCCCCCCCCTCTCTCCCAGTCTCCCCCCCCTCTCCCCCCCTCTCTCCCCGTCTCCCCCCCCCTCTCTCCCCGTCTCCCCCTCCCTCTCTCCCCGTCTCCCCCCCCCTCTCCCCGTCTCCCCCGGCTCCCTCCCTCCCGACTCTCCGCGTGAACCCGGCTCCGAGGCTCCTCCCTCCCCTCCTTCCCCTCCCACCAACAGCAACACAAAGACAAAGGTCCCCCGTATAGCCTTCAACAGACTGCGGGGCAAGTGGCCAACCCGATACGTCTCAACATCCCCCGGTGCTGCTGCTTGCTACACGACACTAGCTGCTAATTTTAACGCTGAGCCGACCTAGGGTGGGCCCACGATCGATGCAGTCATCGCCGGTGTTGGCCGGGTGGCCGGGGTCCGTAGCGCGGTGCGCTCACCGCTGCGCCACCGCTCCCATCTGCTGCTGGCACAAGGTGCACAACACCACCAACAACAACATTGCGTGTGTGTGTGTAACTGTGTGTGTGTGTAACTGTATGTGTGTGTGTAACTGTGTGTGTGTGTGTAACTGTGTGTCCGTGTGTGTAACTGCGTGTGTCCGCGTGTGTGTGTAACTCTGTGTGTCCTTGTGTGTAACTGTGTGTGTGTAACTGTGTGTGTGTAACTGCGTGTGTGTGTCCTTGTGTGTGTGTAACTGTGTGTGTGTAACTGTGTGTGTGTAACTGTGTGTGTCCGTGTGTGTGTAACTGTGTGTGTGTAACTGTGTGTGTGTAACTGTGTGTGTGTAACTGTGTGTGTCCGTGTGTGTGTGTAACTGCGTGTGTGTGTCCTTGTGTGTGTGTAACTGTGTGTGTGTAACTGTGTGTGTGTAACTGTGTGTGTCCGTGTGTGTGTAACTGTGTGTGTGTAACTGTGTGTGTGTAACTGTGTGTGTGTAACTGTGTGTGACTGTGTGTGTGTGTAACTGTGTGTGTGTATCGTGTGTGTGTGTAACTGTGTGTTTCCGTGTGTGTAACTGTGTGTGTGTAACTGCGTGTGTGTGTCCTTGTGTGTGTATAACTGTGTGTGTGTAACTCTGTGTGTGTAACTGTGTGTGTCCGTGTGTGTGTATCGTCACCGACTATCATTTTCATTCGAAGGTCACGTGCGTTGTTGTTATTGTTGTTGACACGGAGCGTGTTGAGTTGTTGTTGTTGATGGTGTTGTTGACACGTAGCGTGTTGAGTTGTTGTTGTTGACACGGAACGTGTTGAGTTGTTGTTGTTGTTGACGCGGAGCGTGTTGAGTTGTTGTTGTTGTTGACACGGAGCGTGTTGTGTTGTTGTTGTTGTTGACGCGGAGCGTGTTGAGTTGTTGTTGTTGATGGTGTTGTTGACACGTAGCGTGTTGAGTTGTTGTTGTTGACACGGAACGTGTTGAGTTGTTGTTGTTGTTGACGCGGAGCGTGTTGAGTTGTTGTTGTTGTTGACACGGAGCGTGTTGTGTTGTTGTTGTTGTTGACGCGGAGCGTGTTGAGTTGTTGTTGTTGATGGTGTTGTTGACACGTAGCGTGTTGAGTTGTTGTTGTTGACACGGAACGTGTTGAGTTGTTGTTGTTGTTGACGCGGAGCGTGTTGAATTGTTGTTGTTGTTGACACGGAACGTGTTGAGTTGTTGTTGTTGACGCGGAGCGTGTTGAGTTGTTGTTGTTGTTGTTGTTGACGCGGAGCGTGTTGAGTTGTTGTTGTTGTTGACACGGAGCGTGTTGTGTTGTTGTTGTTGCCACGGAGCGTGTTGTGTTGTTGTTGTTGTTGCCACGGAGCGTGTTGAGTTGTTGTTGTTGTTGACGCGGAGCGTGTTGTGTTGTTGTTGACACGGAGCGTGTTGAGTTGTTGTTGTTGTTGTTGACGCGGAGCGTGTTGAGTTGTTGTTGACGCGGAGCGTGTTGAGTTGTTGTTGTTGTTGTTGTTGACGCGGAGCGTGTTGAGTTGTTGTTGTTGTTGACACGGAGCGTGTTGTGTTGTTGTTGTTGACACGGAGCGTGTTGTGCACCAGTAGGCAACGCAGCAGCAGCAGAAGCAGCAAAGTTACCAAACAAAATCCGTCTCCACACGAATTCACACGGCCCAGCGTGCGCACACAAAGATACATTCATAAATACATATATACACACACATATATACACAACACTATACACATACATATACACACATATACACACCACTATACACACACATATATACACAACACTATACACACCACTATACACCACTATACACACACATATACACACACATATACACACATATATATATACACACACATATATACACACACATATATACACGCACATATATACACGCACATATATATACACACACATATATACACACACATATATACACACACATATATACACACACATATATACACACACATATATACACAACACTATACACATACATACACACACATATACACACCACTATACACACACATATATACACAACACTATACACACACATATATACACAACACTATACACACACATATATACACAACACTATACACACACATATACACACATATATACACACACATATACACACATATATACACACACATATATACACAACACTATACACATACATACGCACACATATATACAAAGACAAAGATCCCCCATATAGCCTGAACAGACTGTAGGGGCAAGTGCTGTTAGCGAGCACCTATGAAGGCCGGAACGGTACACGAGGGGGTGGGTGGCCAGCACCACGCCCGACCGCCTTTGTCTCCCTAGTGGCGATGTTTACACACCGCACCAGGTACTCATTTAAGGCTGAGTCGACCTAGGGGAGGCCCAGGACCGGTTCAGATAATCGTCACTGGTGTTAGCCGTGAGCGGGAATCGAACCCGGGTCGCCAGGTTCATAGCGCAGCGCGCTAACCGCTACACTACCGCTCACATATACACAACACTATACACATACACACATATATACACAGCACTATACACATACACACACACATAAATACACAACACTATACACGCAAATATACACAGATGCCCCGATGTAGGTCTTCACAGTTTTACGTCGTTTCGCGAGCGTTGAACTTCTTTCGCGCCGTACGTGTCCAAACGCGCTAATCGGAGGTGCGGAGGGATAGGACAAGAACACGAAACACAACAACAACAATAACAACAACAATAACAACAACAACAACAACAAGAAGCAGTTCAAATCTTGCTTTGAAGCTTTCGTGACTGCAGGTTCTTTCGGTAAAGTCACGTAGGTAGAAAAAGAAAACAAAATAAAATAATAAATCACGACGTTTCGATCGCAACACACGCGGTCGTCCTCGGGCAAAACAATATAATCCAGTGATATATTATTTTTATTTTGTTGAATTTTTCTATCTACGTGACTTTACCGAACGAACCAAAGAGTAAACAAGCAGTTCTGACGCGGATGTTTTTGTCCAACACGGCATTTTCCAGGAACGCAACCCCCTGCGTTTGACGAGATGTGCCTGTACACAACATTATTACACAAAAAGTCGATGTCTCCTCCGCTGTTCGGGGCCGAGTGCTGGGGCACAAGACAGAGGGAGGACCAAGCAACGGGGCAGTGGCAGAGAGGTTCCAATGGTGTAAATGCTTACACCGAGCTCTCATACTCTGATGGTGCATTGTCTTTGAGTTGTGCGCCTTTTGGCGTCATCTGGTCCAACACCATGTGAGACTAGGCTCGAAGGAAAGCTGTCTCGGGTGTGGACCGATCAACTTCAAGGACAGTGCATACATTATCAGAGTTGTGTTTTTTGTTTGCATTATGACTGCAGGTATTGTGGTCTATGCAAACATGACTCCTTGTAAAAAAGGTGTCAGTTTTGTTGCCAGATAAAAGTGTAATTTTTTTTTTTATCAGAGACGAGGATGTTGCAGTCAATGTTGGGCTCAACGAGGAAGGACACGGGGCGTCAGAAACGAAGCGACGAGAGGAAGACTCGAGGTGGTAGAGGTCACGGAGAAGATGAGAGAGACGTTTGACTTCTAAACAACTTTTATTGCCGCCGGCAGCAACAACACTGGAGGCGATTCCGATATAAAACACACAGTCACCAGCAACACAAATAAGCGCTATAAATCCACGCGCTGTGGCGCTAAATGCGCCGCGCACAACACGAAAGAAAAGCCACGTGGTGGTGGTGGTCATCGCGCACGCCACGGTGACGAGCGAGCGCTTCAGAAGGTGAACACCACGAGGGTGCCGTCCACGCTGGTGCAGAGAGGGGCTTGCCCGGCTCCCCAGCGTTCGAAGAAGACGCGCTGCACATCAGACAGAGACAAGAATCCGGTGCGGTTCGGCCACAGCGGAGAGACAAACATGGACATTGCGACGTGGGTCAGCAGGTGGCGAGTGAAGCAAGTGGAGTGGAAGAGATGAAGAAGAGGTGTGGGGAGGAGGGGGGGGACGATGTGGTGGGATGAGACCGTGGTGACCCGAGTAGAGAGAGATGGAGCAGCACAGGGCAGCGTGGGGAAGGCTGTTCAGGAGAGCGGAACACCCCCGCGTGAGCGGGACAGACGCGTGGAAGGAGGAGAAGAATGAGATGGAGATGGAGACGTTTGTTTTGGTTCGGAGGGCTGCGGAATCTCCAAACGTTTCACAGGAAGGGAAAGAGAAATTCTCCACATTTTTAGCCGTTCGCACGTAAGGTGACGCCATCTCTTACTTCGGTATTGGCTTGTACAAGAGGGCAGCAGCAGCAGCAGAAGCAGAG